GTTTTTATTGTTTTTATTTTTTGAACGTGAATGAATAAAAATGTTCACCTATCAGCATGTTCTATTAAACAACAACTCCAAGCCAACAGTAAACAGTGAGTGTTGTGTACCGCTCCTCTAAGCCCTACATTGTGTCAGGGGGGTGTTTTGTTGTACGTACTCTCTGCTCCTGGATTCTCATCTCTCTCTCCAGCAGCTCTGACATGTAGCTCACAGCCAGAACCACATGGTCCACACCGGCCTGCAGACACACACAAGAACCGATCAGCAGAGCTCAGAGCAACCTGTCAGCTGTACCGTTAAATGTCTGCTCCATACCTTGACCAGCGCCTCCACCTGGTGCAGCAGGATGGGTTTGTTGCAGAACTCCACCAGCGGTTTGGGGACGCTCAGGGTGAGCGGTCGCAGCCGGGTCCCGTAGCCCCCAACCAGGATCAGAGCCTTCATGCTTCTGCTGTTAGCAACAGTTACCAAGGCGGACACAGTTCATCAATAAGGAGACGTCAACCTGCCTGAACAGAAAGAAGAAAAACCTACAATGATGAAAGAAGCGGATGTTTTCGACGATGTGGTTTCTGTGACAGATTACTGACTCTGAGTAATTTACAAATAGAATTCATTTTTATGTCTCTAAGAACATATTTGTCACATTCTAAAGTCCAGCAAACTGTCTCTCAAATGAATGAATCAAATGTTAACTACAACCTGCAAGACAAAAGAGAGGCACAGCTCAGTGGTCAAAGTTCATGACCAACATGTTTTTATTTTATTGTTATTTAAGTTTCCTCTCAGTATTTTTTATTTTCATATACAATTTTTTTAGGCGTTTCCTTGAGTTTTAAAATCTCACAACTTCAGGAAGCTGTGTCTCTTCACCTGGCTGTGGTGGAACTCATCCGCTCTATTAGTCACTGATGGCAGCAAGGCTAAAAATAGAGCAGACAGTGACGTGACATCTTGTCGGTAAAAACTAAACTATTCTTTAAGAGGAATGAGTTTCAGGTTTCTCCATTCATGCACTTGGCCAATGAACGGCACTACTTTGGACTCACAAACACACATCTATGCCACGATGTGTCTGGGTCCACGAGGAGCCTTTTGGGGGTCAAGATACGCAACAGTAAGTATTAGCGTTAAAGGAAAGGCAATGAGGCCATGTTGTGTTTGACAGGAATCTATGGGTTTTTTTTCTATTATTTCCAACTATTTGATAAACAAAAATGTCAATTATACTTAAATTAATTAAACAACTAACAAAACTGGTTGAAAAATGTCATTGTTGTCAATATTTGGCGCCAGCTGAAAACCACCAGGAGGAGCAGCATAAAATCTTCTACTGCATCAGCTCTGCCTGCTCATCCTGTAGGTCGGAGGGGCTGATCACACTGGGATGACAGCGGGATGACAGTGGGACGATAGTGGGACGATAGTGGGCGAGAGGCAGGTGGGATGTCCAAACAAGGACTATGAACATAGATTGAACTGCTCACATCTCAGTTTCCATCCTTGTTTGGGTCAAAACACAAAAGTGCACCTGTCGAAACTTGTTAAAAACTTTTAGTAGGAGTGGCACAGACGATTTTCTGCAGATTATAGCTATGGCTAAATAAAGTACAATATAGTTGGTTATAGCATATTACAGGTTCACTGAATTTTGTCTTCCATACAGTTCTGACAGAATCACTTTCTAACTTCGTCAACCAGACTCAAATCTGAATTCTTAAATTGATGAGCCTATAGATGGGAAACATTTGTCTCCTTAATATTCAGGCTGTTAGTCATGTTGTTGCCTTAGATCACAAGATTTCATTCATTCCCACCAGTGTTGGTGTCCTTTTTAAAGCCCTGTAACGTGTTTACAAAATCACAGGGACACCACAGATTAAAACTAATTCCAACACCGCAGAAGTTGCTAACTTAGCCGTGTTAGCATCACAGTGGATTCCTCGTCTTATATAGAACATGTCGACGATATATGTGTTAAAACTTTTGTGTTTGAGTGTAAACAGTGAGCCCAGAGACCAGCACAGACTGCGCTCATGTTTTGGTTTCATTGAACTGATTGCAGTTAGCTCACGTTAGCTGAGCGAGCTAACTTGCCTCTGACTTAATGTAGAGCAACAAACCGGCTGCTGGCTGGTTCGCACTCGGCTGCTAAAGTCTTCAGTCTGTGTGTGAGTTAATAAAAAGGATAAAAACTCACCTGGGTTTGTTCAGCAGAAGTCCTCACCAGGTTTGTGAATCACTGAAACTCTTGGAATGACACGTAAGATCGTCCAAACAAGAATTCCGTGTTTGTTTCCGGTGCCGCCGCGTTGCGTCAATTGTCACATCGTCACACATACAGAGTCCGGTTTGACTTTTCAAAATAATAGTAGGGGGGTTTGGACGCTATTTTTGAATGCTTTCATCTTATAAGATAAAATAAGATTTTTTTTAAAACTACATCTATCTATCTATCTATCTATCTATCTATCTATCATCTTAGGTAAAATTAAGGTAAGAAAATGTACAATAATTATGGACAATGACAGTATTGTTATGCTCTCTTATGTATTGCTTGTTTGTTCTTCCATCTTCTCTCCTGCTACAACCCCTCCTGTCCCCCACGCCCCTCATCCCCACTCTCAGGTGGCCTCCTTCCCTGAGTCTGGTTCTGGGTTGCTGTTTGTTTTTTTTGTTTGTTTGTTTGTTTTGTTTTTTTGTTTTTTTCTCCCTGTTGCTGACTGCTTGCTCAAAGGGAATCCAAAAGGAACTTTGGATTGGTGGGCTTCTCTGTTTAAAATGTGTAAGGTCTTGGACTGAATGTGAAATAATTAAACTAATTTATCAGACGGTAATTAAACATTATATTACAGTATTTTATAGGCTCCAGCCTCCCCGCGACCCTAGTGAGGATTAAGCGGTGTATAGATAATGGATGGATTACAGTATTTTGTTTTATTTTTACACTTTGCCTTTGTAAAACAAAACACCAAACAAACAGGAAATAAAATCGATCCATAATTTTACATGAAACAATTCCTATAATCACTGACTTTGCCGTGACAATGACTTTAGAGACAACCAACCCCACTGCACCAAGCCGATATCATGCACTTATTTTAAAGGCCAAATCCTTCTGTTTCTGGTCTGAACGGTTACATTCTGGGGATCTTAATGGTCGATCCTAACGGCCGTCTTTGACTTGGGGATGTTCAAATTAAATGGAGTCTAAAATGAAAACCGCATAATCCCGTGCATTACATAATAAATTAATTCTGAAGATGTAGTCTTTAAACTTCACCATCATGAACACATCAAACATCACTGCTGTTACACCTGTTCCGTCAACGTTATCCAAACTGTCCCATGCACCCCCCACGTATTACGTAGTGGTATGTCCTACACACACTGTCCCCGCCCCTTCATTACTTCTGACCAATCAGAGAAAAACAGCGTGGCGATGGGAGGCGGATGCAATATTCCTGATTTACATAAGAAGACGATGGAAAAAGTCACATTACAGCAGCGGTCTGTCAGTCTGACAGCTTTTAATGTTGTAATTTACACTTTCTACCTCCGGCAAGGAGGTTACGTTTTAGCCGGCGTTTGTTTGTTTGTTTGTTTGTTTGTTTGTTTGTTTGTTTGTTTGTTTGTTTGTTTCTTTGCAAGATAACTCGAAAAGTTATGAACGCATTTTTATGAATGGTCTGTGGATCTCAAACAGGACAGTTTGAAGGGTTGAAAAGAGACGAAACACAAGGACAACTGTGAAGGCAGAATTATATATTTGTTTATTTTATACAATAACATTAAATAAAATATTAAAGCAATAACACACACACACACACATTTTTTGTGCTGATCTCACTACCTCCTGAGAGAGACACAGAAACAGACATCAACACACATATGTAGATATAACAATGATATATCTGATAAACTGTACATGATTCACTTTTATGCTTTGGCCAAACATATTTCATTTTTAACATTTATGCCAATCAGCCCAGTTCTGCTGTGAGCTGTGAGCGCTGACTGAATTGTCTCCCTTCTGTCTTCAGCTCTTTGTCCAGCCCTCTGCAAGATTCCTCCACTTCACTGAACTAGTGGACAGACAACATTATCACTGCTGGCTTTATAGAAACATTAGGTACAGAAACAATTATTTTCTGGAACTCAGATTTTGCAAAAAACAAATACAAAAACCCCACTACAACCTGTTATGTCCACTGATATTACCAACAAAGGCCCTCAGTGAACCTTATGGGGATGGCTCTGTTAAATTGTTATGTGCATCTTCAAATAAAGAGAGAATAGTTGGTCAAATTGAATATTTTCATATCATTTTGCAAATATAAATAGACATAAACTAGGCCTAGTCCTAGAACTGGACTAAGACATTTAGAATTTGATGTCCTGGGTCTGTAGTTATTTATCATCATCTCTGAGCTCTGCTGCCAAATCTCACTGTGACTCAGTTTAACACATAAACAAGCTAAACGTTGGTTTTACTGAAGCCTTTGTGAGGTAAAACGTGACCGTTTGCAGGTTTAATGACGACTTAAAACATCGTTTTTTTCACAGTTCAGCGAGTCACCAACAGCTTTGCTGTACAAACAAAGGCAGCAAAAATGTTTATAACATTAAACAATAAAACGATTTAAACAAACGTTTATTTGTTTTATGATGTTAAACTAAAAAACGATTCACAATTAGTAGTCATGTTGTGATCCTCTTCCATCATGGCGATGAATGCTGCTGCTGTGTTCAGTATCCAGCTCAGCAGGTGACACCAGCGACCTGTCGGTGGGTCCTGAGAGCTCTGAACACACTCAGACTGCTGCATCTGGGCTACAGACCACAGAGACCACAGCAGCAGAGTCCATCATCATCCTGCCTGTTAATAAGTATGTTCATTACACCAGTTGACCAAATGCAACCAAGTTATTATTATCATTGTAATAAGTAGTATTTTGGGTGGAATAAACCTTTCAAAACTGACTTGTAAGACTAGCTGCCCGAACAATGTCCACTCATCGTTCTGCCTCTGGAGCAGATGGTGGCTCATGATTTTGAGCTCTCTATTAAAGTCCACTTATTTTTCCATCTCACTAATGACAGACTATGCGGCTCATAGTTTTTACTCCTTAACAAAGTCCACCTGTCGTTCTGTCACTCTAACTTGGCAGATCGTGTGGCCATACCTTGTAATTTATGTGTAACTGCTGTTTATGTGTAAACAATGTTCCTGTTCCAGTGTCTGAATAAAGCTGTTTAAAAAGATAAACTAAATAAAATGTGGGACTACATCAAAATGTTTGTATTTCAAAAACCTCAATTAACAAGTTACTAGAACAACCCAGCATATCAAATTATTTTACTCATTACAATATTGAAACAACTTAGTTTAATAAATTATGAAGTCTAAAGCCACAACCAACGATGTTCATGGAGTGTTTTTGTGTTTTCTAACATTACGTCTGTTTGTTTCCCTGATGCTAATGATTTTCCACTGTACTATGAGATGAGCTTCACGTGGATATTTCATCCTGAGATAAAAGTGACTCAAGCAAACAAAGAAATGACGGCAGCCCCCTTTCAGGTTCTTATAGATTGAAATCCTCTCGTGTTGCCTTTTAGTGCAAACAGAAAGCACAACAAAGCATCAACAACTGCAGAAGTTAACGCTGTCCAGTGAAGCTTTATTAAAACAAAGTCCTCACTGAGCAACAAATGTGGCCATATCAATAAATACTTAGAATAAAATGTTCATATTTATTAATGAACCATGTCACAGCAGAATTAAAGTCTTTAATAACAGCTGTTTAAGAGGAAGAACCAGAAGGTTTCATCTCTTCTGTCGGCAATATGAACTCAAAATGACAATAATTATCAAACCAGTTGAGCATTTCACTCTAACAGTAATAGATTCTCTTTAAAAAACAATAACTGTTCAATGAATTGCCTTTCACACCTCAACACTGAATATCAGTGATGAAAATTCATTACTGTCTAATAAGGACCGTATATAATGTCATATAAACTTAATTACAACTCATCATGCTGTAGTTGAGACACTTGTCCTCATGTCTCTGTTTGTCCAGGTTTCACTTGAATGTTCTTCAGCAAACCTGCAAGAACACATTTTAAAGCTTCAAAAGGCAAAGTGTGGCAGCCTGCTTTTCCAGGAGCTTCGAGTTTGGAGGTCAGAGGTTCCAGCGCAGGTCACAGACCAGGGCGATGTGGTCGGAGGGGTGAGCCACGCTGGGCAGGGCCTCGTAGGTGGTGACCTCCTGGTGGCTGGGCAGAGGAATCACCTGCTCCACCTGCACAGACGTAGCAGCGATCCAGTTTGACCACATCATCACTCATTTCTTTCAGGACTTAAATGACTGATGGGTGAATACATCCAGAATCATCAGGGGCCTTCTGCTTTATTACTTGAAACATTTTTTTTTAATGATGTGATATATCAGGTTTGTTTTTAATTTTTTTAAATATTGCCACTTTGTGTCACTTACATTAGGCTGTCTAGCAATATTTTTGTTCTTGTGGCACCACTTGTCATGAATCAGTAGCAAAGTTTAATAAAACTAACTTTTTTGTAAGCAAGTATTTCAAATTTAATGTATTACAGTTTATCCAAAATAAAAAAAAATACCCACAAGATGCTTAATTTTCCAGCTCTTTAGCTAAAAAAAAAAAAAGCCAAATATGCGACTAAAACACAGGATACTTGTAAATTAAAAACGCAAATTTCAAACCAGAATATGTAAAGTTATATTTTCTATTGAGTAATATTTAAGATGTACATACTGCATGTAATTAAGATGCAAGAATTCAGGTAGGGCATTGTGGTAAAAATTAAAATTCAATTAAACATCTTCTTACCCCGCGACCCTAGTGAGGATTAAGCAGTGTATAGATAATGGATGGATGGAAATATCTTAACATGTGACGTGAATTTGACTTTTACAAACACTAACTGCTGTTTGCAAAGACATAAACGTCTGGCAATAGTAAAACCTCGACCAGCAGAAAAATAAGACAAATAATGACTTCATTGGCTCTCCAGTGGTGATCAGAATAATCTGAGGGAGCTTCATTAGTGAAACTGTGTTCATATACAGTTATGTAATGATGCAGCACCATTGTGGCTCTGTGGAAAAGCAAACTGGCTCTTCAGAGGTTTACCAGTTAAACCAGCTCTGAACCAGCACTAAAACTAATCCTGAACTAGTACCGGGTTCGCGCTGGTGGAATGCAGCTAATGAACCGTGTTGGATCAAGTTGTTCTCATGAATCAGCATCAGTACCTGCATTCTGTCCTGCTGTATGAAGATGTAGTCCAGGCAGCCGTGAAATCCTCCCACGTAGTTGGTGTAGGCCGGCTGACCGCAGGCGCTCAGCAGAGGGGGGAAGCCAGAGGGCAGCTCCATGCTGCAGGCCTCCTCCGGCCCCGAGCTGCTCCAGTCGGCATGATCCTGAGGAACCACGGCCTCACTGAGCAGCTGGAACACACCTGTGACCAGACCAGCACACCGGACTCACACAGCGCCGCAATCAACACTGCTGCATTTTCTACCACAAGATTCACCGAGTTAGTTCCATTTCTGTTTGACAAACACGTAAACCTGCTCTGAGACTGGATATTTGTAAAATATTTTACTTAGGAAATGCATTCATTTCATCAGTCTGTTCAGTGAGGCTGTCTGACATCTCTGCTATAAACTGTGCACAGGCTAAGCTCCTCACTTGATGATAGACTCTATATTTTACAGGTGTTCCCTAAACGCCTCACGTGCAGACGAAGGCAGCTGCAGGTCAATCAGGTGTGTGAATGAAAATTAATTAGAAAAGAGCAAAAATAAGGCATTTTATGACAGATATGCCCAAGTTGGACCTGAGTCATTTTATTCACATGTGTGGAGAGCATTTTAAATGTCAGCACCACAGTTGATCATGTTCTTCTGACGCTGTGAAGTCAAAACTCTCATCGCTGTAAAAATGTATTGTAATGTATTTGCATTTTAGTTTCGTTATTGCTAATGGATTGGTTCACACATCAGACAGGGGAGACGGACAAAGCCACTGAAAAAGATAAAAATAGTAAACACAACAGCTTCCCGTCTGGTCACCAAATCAGCTTAACAATCATCATGCACTTGTACAAATGCGACCACATGAAAGTTGAACCCACACATTCATATCCAGGCTGTATGTAGGTCGCAGTCTGGAGCCCTGAGAGGCGTTTTTTTTTTTTTTTCCTTTAAACGGTCAGTTCAATAAGCTTCAGCTGAAGAGAATGACAGCACTCTAGAGCTACCTGTGTTTGGGGTGGAGTTAAAGTCACCACAAAGCAGCAGCGGGGCTTCAGGCGCGACCTCGCTGATCACACGTCTCAGGTGTTGAAGAGCCACGCCCATCTGGACCAAGCGAACGTTCCCCCCTTCAAAAGGAAAAATAATTATTCCGTTTTTAAAAGTTTGTTGTTGTGCAGATCATCACCCCGCTGGCTGGTATCGGTAGCTCAGGTGTGTGTGTGTGCAGTGGAACGACGGGTTTTACCTTTCGGGTGCCAGTACAGGTGAGTGTTGGCCACACAGACCTTCCTGCCTGGTGTGTTGACATCTTCAAGCACACTGACCTGCAAAGAGACAAATGATTTACAGAGTGGGCTAAAGATGGATCCAAAATTATTTTCATGATCGCTCAAACTGCTGATTATTGATTTAGTTTGAAAATTCTTGCTCCCTTTTTTTTTCCCAATTTAAACCACCAGAGGGTAGATGTTGCTGTTTAATGATCCCACACAGATAAAAAATCATTTAAGCCAACAAACAAACTTTAATTCACATTTTTGCAGACAAACTAAAATTGTAAGACACTTAGAACCATTAAAAAAAACATTTTAGTTGGCTTAAAAAACAAAAAACAGGACATAACATCCGTTTCATGTGATCAAAATGCCCAAATGTATTAGAGAAGAGTCAACTACAACATCCTCAATGGTATCTGTGACCTCCATGTTGTAAAATACTGTTGTAATACATCTCTGTTTCTATGAAAATCTATTTGCAGTGACTCAAAACTGCCTTGAAATACAGAATCTGTCAGCAACACTGTGTGTGATTTGATATTGGGACGACAGCAATGTAACAAAGGCTGCATCTTCCTCCAGATCATTCATGAGCAGCAGTACCTGCAACGAGGTGGACCTCTGCAGGATCTTGTCCTTTAGGATGCTGTTAGCAGAAATCCTCTCAAGCAGATCAGAGTGGACCGGGTCAGAGGTCAACGCCTCGCTCAGCATGATGTCATGACGGCTCAGCAGCCTAAACTTTGACCTGAAACACAGCAAGATGTCGTTCAGGACGATTTACAGTTATATAGTTACATAAATCAACACAATGAACTCTTGATATTCCTCCAGCATTCCTGAAAAATGTTTGCAGTGCAGGAAGGAGCATTATCCTGCTAAAAGAGGCCATCAGGGAGCAATGCTGCCATGAATGGGCTCTGTGGTCTTGTGTAGGTGGGTGCTACATGTCAGAGCAACAACCAGATTAATGCAGGACCCAATGTTCCCAGCAGAACGTTGCTCAGAGCAGAGTCCTTCCTTGGATTACTTTTGGGAGGTACGAACCACTGCACAACCCAACAACACATGAGGGCTCTACTATGAAGCAAGTTTGACATAGCCGGGCTGTCTTTGTGTCAGTCGGCTCAACAAAAACTAAAGCCCCAGTCAGAGATCATGGGTATCAACTTTCTTTGTCAACTCAGACTTTCTGCTTCAGACTCTGTTCACATAAAAAGGGGTGTTTGACGCGTCACGTGACTCTTCTTCTGCTCAAAATGAATCGATGGTGTGCAGCTGCTTCAGTCAACAGGTTGTTTTAATGGAGAACAATGAGAAACATGAATATGTATGATGGTAAAAAGCGCTGCTACTGTAAATGATGCAAGACAGGAATGCTGGTAGAAAACTGCTAAATGTGTGTAATATATTTCATTTACTGATTTATTTTACTGGTCAATGCAGCAGCTGTTAAACCTTAAACTTCATATATTTAAACATGATCTTGTATTGAAGTGCATTTAGGTCTGACACGGTCCCATAATGCAGGAAATCACTTTAATTTTTGGTCAAATCAAAGCGAAATTAATGTTTTTGATTGAATATTATCTGTAATAAATACCAGTAGAATAACCCATTTTCTAATCTGTGTTCTATCAGCTACAGAAGCAGCAGAGTAAACGGACCTGACAGCAAATCAGAGCCAAATACAAAAACATATTTATGTGATCTCTGCATCACCAACTGAATACACGTCTGGCATGACAACATGATATTAACAGTGTGTGATGCTGTAACTACACGGCTTCATTCAGTGATATTAGTAACACACAACTCAGCATGTTAGCGGATAAAACACATTCCCTCAGCTGAGAATTTGCATCGCTCATAAATAATAGTCAGGAAACGATCTGGTTAAAGGGAGATGCTCTTTCCAGCCGATTTAAATACTGAACATAACCTGCTCCCCACCAGGTTAGCTCCACAGCATCAGTTACCATGGAGATCTAGCAGGTAAAAAGAGAGCCACCTTTGTGACCCTGAAAACTCTGACTTTAACCCACTAATCTCGCTTCGTAGTCCAGCCCTCTGCTGTTATACAGATGCTCTGAGGCATTCATCAACACGTCACAGATTGTCAGACTCCCTCAGATTCCTACGCTGGCCATTTTTCCTACAAGTAACACCTTCCACTTCAAAAACTGACTGCTCACTTGCTGTCTAATATATCCCACCCACTGACCGACAGCACTCTTAAAGATTTAACCGATGTTTTTCACGTCACTTGACAGTGTCTTAATGTTGTGGCTGCTCAGTGTAGGAGGGAGCACTTGTTCTGAAACGACAGGGTGGTATATGGTTGTGGGCTTTATGCAGGAGGTTAATATGGCCATCATCAATAATGCAGTCATACATTCAAATCAGATGGAGGTCCTGCTGTAAAACAACAAATCTGCTGCTCAGCTTCAACTGTAATGGAACACTTTTAACAGCAGCACTTCACACCTGCAGGCAAAGATGTGTCTTTTTAAAGATTTACATTATTATCATGATGTCAGTAAACTCTGTATATTTAGATGATGTGGTCAGTTTTCTATAAAATAAGAAAAATAAATGCTGACTCAGGCTGGTGTTGGACCTGACCTGCGGTAGAAAGTGGCCAGTCCTTCATGCTGCTTCTCTTTTATCCTGAAAACACCGTCCAGACCGAAGGCGTCCAGAGCCGGAGTCAGACTGCTCACGAACACATCTGAAGAGTCCAGAAGACATGAAGACGGTCAGAAGACACGTTAACACATCCAGATGACGGTAACTTTACAGATAGAGTCACAGCGGCTCCTCCTCTGAGAATTACTTTTAATTTTGTAGTAATATAATGTAGCCCTGCGATAGTCAGCTGGGACAGGCTCCAGCGCTCCCGCAACCCTAGTGAGGATTAAGCGGTGTATAGATAATGGATGGATGGATGGATGGATAGTAACATAATTCAGAGCAATGAACAGACGTGTTATAAAAGGAAACATCATGATTCTAAGTGCAACACTTCTCTGTCTCGCTAAAACAAGCAGTTTAAATAAAGTCAATAAAATAACGGCTAATAAATACATGAATTTGCCAGGCTATAATGTTCAGTTTTGTAGATTCTGTGTCTGAAATCAGTAGTTCCATCTTTGTGGCACTGCTGACATACAGTGTTTCAATTAATCTGTCTCTGTCAGGAAGGACAAGGTGCCATCAGGAGTTTCTGCAAAGAAATGAGGCTTGTTTCCATGTCAATAAAGTCTATGTGGTGTTGTCAGAAGGTAGAGTAGTAAGAGAATAAAGAGAAGACGTAGTCACAAAAAAAAGTTGTTTGCTGACTGCTAAAAAAAAACAAAAAAAAACTAAACTTGAATATGAATTATCAAATAAAACTTTGGTCATCTATGATTGAAAAATGAAGAGGAGTTCTTAGGAACAGTTTTCATTCAGGAAAGTTGTAATCATTCTTTACTGTCAGATGATACTGGACACTTTTTGAGAAATATAAGTTTAAATAAGCCAGAATTCTCCTTTATGAGCACTTTGGGATCAAACCACATAATAATTACCAGCCTCCTCATTAACACCTGCTTCTGCTGTGTGACTAGCTGCCAAACAATCTGAAGGTATTCAGTGGACAAGAATATTTGACAGAAAAATAACAATCACACTGGAGGACAAGAGGAATGTTTGGCACTTGTGTTGTTGATTCATTTTCAGTGAGTCAGCTGGCTGCTGTGTCATCGAGTACCTTGGTCGACCTCCTGCAGACAGATGATGTCGGCGTTGTACCCGGCCAGCTCCTTCTTGATCAGGTTCTGCCTGTAGTCCAGCTGCAGGGCATATTGGGCACAGTACGGGTACAGCACCGTCTTGGACAGTTCTGTCTGGGCGTAGATGTCGGCGAGGATGTTGTACGACACCACCCTGACAGCCGGCCACTCCGCCGCCCTAACAGTGTACGCGTGACGGTTGTCAAACGTGCACATGCCTGGTCCGGCCTCCACGGCTCCCACAGAGATCAGCTCCTTTGCCGGGCCGCTGCGACTTCCATCTTTGGGCGTGCACATCAGTTTGACCCTGCAACCGATGTCCTGATTGGACGGCACATGGACTCGGTCGCGTCCAACCTGCGTCCAGCCACCGTCCTGAGCTGGAACCTCATCAGCAGCTTCAGGCCTAGAACAAGAACAAGAAAGAGGTGAACAATACAGATATGAATGCTGCATGTTGTTTTTTTAATCATCTAATTATTTGCCTTATTCTGCTCAATGAATTGTAATTCTGTTCTTTTAAAATATATGACCTCATTTTCTTCTTTTTTGAAATTACACAGTCTATAGAAGAAAAAACAGGATGGAGTAGAAGAAAAAGGAGGAAGAATAGGAGAAGAAGAAGAAGAAAAAATAAATAGGAGAATAAATAGAGGGAGGAGAAAGGAAGGAAGAATAAAGGAGGACAACAAGAAACAGGATGAGAATGCAAGGGAGGATAAGGAAAAAAAGAAGGAGAAAAAGACAGAAAAGAAGGAGGAGGAGGAGGAGAGAAGATGAGAAGAAGATGCAGAAGGAGGAGAAGTAGACAAATACAGAGCAGGAGGAGAAGAAGGAGGTGGAGGAGGTGAAAAAGGGGCAGCATGAGATGGAGCAAAAGAAGAGAAAAAGAGGAGAACAAGAAGGAGGAAAAAGAAGACAGAGGGAGGAGTAGAAGGAAGAGAAATATAAGTAACGGCGTGATCATCAGGTTAACAACAGAATGCCAGTAAAGCATAAAGAGTTGAACTGAGTAAACAATGTGTTGGACTCACAGGACTAATGGTGCAGATCTGTAGTGACAGATATAAAGTAGGTGTTAGCAGTGCATCGTTTATAAACTAATGCCACTGAAATTTGGTTGAGAAGCAATAAGCAAAATCAAAGCTAACGTTTCTTGATGGTTCCTTTAAAATGGACCTGCTGGAACTGGTCCAATCAAAATGACAAGAGACTTAAAATTGTGTTGTTTGTATGAATTTTGTGTGTCATTCAGTCTGTATGTTCTGCTTCTATGTATGAGAGCTGGGGGGTCGGAGCCCAGGACCCCGATCCGTCCATGAGAGCGGCCACAGTTGATTAATTGTAATGTCAAGTTGTCCTGCACACATTCTGTCAACACCACCTCGTGTTCCGGGTGATCACCTTGAGTTTGGGACGGTTTCCTTCAACCACGTGAACTCGCAGTCTTGGAGGTTTCCAAACTCCACTTCCAGTTTGGGGCAGACTGGGAAACCAGCCATCAGGGACACCGGCAGCTCGGCGGTGGTGAAAGTGGGAGGGTTCCTCAGCACCAAGTACTGAATGTCCCCCACCTGCAGCACGGCTCCGTCCTTCCACGCCTCCGAGCTCAGTGAAGTGTCCGGCACCTCGTCCCCGTCATAGAACAGCTTTACGGCGGTGGGCTCCGCGGCTTCACCCCCCTGCTGCCCCCGGTTCTTCCTCGACCTCTTCGCCTTACTTTCACCCTTAGCGATGTTCTTGGAGATCCGGGCCAGCGCCTTCCCCACCGTCTCGTCCTGGTCCCGCAGCATGTGCTTGTGGCTGCCGTCCAGGCAGAAGGCGATGGAGAGCTTGGGCTCCCCAGGAAGGCACCTCACCACGGCCGCCTCCATCCTGCCGAGGAGGCGGCAGGCTCCGGTCAGAGTCCGCGGTGAGGACGAGACCAGCCGGCAGGACAAAAGCGACAGAGACGCACGGAGGCTGTTGAACATGAAGTCCCCGGTGGCAGGAGGAAGACCGCCGGACTGAACAAGATCACCGGAACCGGTAACTGTCAGCAGGCAGGTGGCACCGGCCCCACGTGAACCCGTGGGAAGGTCTTGTTTTACTTCTGGCAGTTATGGAACTGTCCGGTTAGCCTGATGCTAATTAGCCAAATGCTAATCTGAACAGAAACCCGTTAAAATGGGGCGTTTGATTCAGCCTTCAGCGGTACCGGTTAAACTAAAAAATCTCACAGGATTCGGTAATAAAAAGGTTGTTTGAATACGTGTCAATATTCAGAACACATGAGTTAGCTTGCTGTCGGTACAATCCTGCCGTCACGCTAAGTGTCTTCTTCTATGTGTTAAATACTTGGAAGGTTGACTGCGCTGCAGGCATCAGAGCGCCCCCGCTGGTCAGAATTAGAATTACACCAGACGTTCAACGTGTTCAAATGACTTCTATCTCTGTAAAAACAACAACTTCACAGCATTTAACACGAACAACCAGCATATTTGACAAACCCTGATCAGTTCCTTTTCACATCTCTGAGCTTTTACTTTGAGAGTGTAGCATACTTCACAGAATCCTGTTGACTCCCTGTTAATACCTGTGGTTTTTGTGGGCTATGAAACTGAGACTTAAAAAAACAAAAATTAAAACAACCAAAAACCAAATTTAAGTCCAAGTCAGTTTTCAGCAATTTATGCCTTAAATTAAGTTATTTAGTTTACCACCTATGGATTGCTTTGAGCTTTTATTTTCTCTGTCTGTTAATTCATACTGTTTGCTAACAGTATTTATCCAAACCTTAGGCAGCTCTCTCAGCTATTTGTCCACTTTTACTTCACAGGTTCAACTCACAGCCAAACTTGGAGGAAGCTGATTCCACCATGTTTTGTTTTTTTTTCACCATTCTTTGTCTATTTCAATAACCTCGCACTCCTATTGGTTGTCTGTTTCATTCAGTTCTTTTATTAAACTGAAATGTCATGTTTGTCACATGAATACAGCACATCAGCAGCAAACAATTTGTTTGCAAAATGTAACAAAGTAAAATAATGAAGTAAAACCAATGAAATAACAAAATGAAGTCAAAGCAATGAAGTGAAACTAATGTAACACTTAAAACAACAAAGTAAAACTCATAAAGTAAAAATGACTTAACAACTAATGTA